TACCCACCGCCTTCTCAAATATAATCTTATAAAGGTCCAGAATCTCGGGAGCCAACGAGGGGGGGTGGGGCGAGGGTTCTTGTCTTATACAATCATCATTGTTTTTAGATGCATTGTCTCCAGCTTGTCTTTGCTTATCTTGTCTTCCTAAATCTTCATTTCATCTTTTAAACTACTCAACTAATTTCATAAACTCTTGGGTTTTTTCATCTTCTGGGGTTCAATACTTGATTTGCTTTTCTTGATCTTCCTAACCAAGAATTTTTGAATCACTTGATCTACGATTCCTTGATCATTTAATATCTTGATCTCTTGATTTCGTAAATCATTGTTTCTTGATCTTTTTTATCTTTATCTCCTGATCCCCTGATCTCCCCTGACAAGGTTGTGTTGTTCTCTGGTTTATATTGTTGAGATATCTTGTAATTTTAGTTTTATCCTCTGGTATATAATTGAGATTAGAGTAGAGTAGAGAAACCTACCATTCATCGTAGTGCAACGGATAATAATGTAAAGGGTACGGATAAGAATGTAGTGCAACGGATAATAATGTAAAGGGTACGGATAAGAATGTAGTGCAACGGATAATAATGTAAATGGTAAGGATTAGAACCTAAAGGTATGGATAAGAATGTAGTGCAACGGATAATAATGTAAAGGGTACGGATAAGAATGTAGTGCAACGGATAATAATGTAAATGGTAAGGTTAAAAATGTAAAGGGTATGGATAAGAATGTAAAGGTATCCAACACTCAACCTTTACTTGCCCAAACATTTCATTCATTCTTCCCATTTCATTTATTCGTTCATTTACTCATTCATTCATTCGTCCTTTGTGGAAGCAATCGATTTCATTTATTGCAATATACAAGAGATTGGGATATACTTAAACATTTATAATTAAGAGCTATGGTCAGCGGGAGGGGTAATTCCACCCTCCCCCTCCCCCGGGTCCCCTTGAATCAAATTATAGCCGCTTCTGGACGACATGGTAGTCGGTTTCTTTGAACTCATTCTATTCATTCTTCCTTCATTCTTACTCATTTCTTTCTTCCAGTTTTACTCTTCCGTCCTTTTCTTTTAATCCTCTTCCTCCTTCATCTTTTTTCCTCACTACCTTGATTTCCCATTCTTCTCGTTTACTTCTTTTCTCTGTTTTTTGAATTTCCTTGCTTTCCTTCCACTTTTTCATGTTCAAATTCATGTTTTTGTCCTGTTTTTTTCCACCCCTTTAATCTTATTTTTACTTTATATATTCATCTGAAATCCATTAGTATTTCTTCAACTTCTATCTTGAGTCCTTTTTAAGAGTTACTTTTACTCCTCTCTTACATCCTCCTCTGTTCGTCCTGCAATACCTATCTCCTGGTTTCTATTATTATTGTTTTTGTTTACAAATATAAATCCTACGTTAGTAATCTTCTCTCTTTTCTCTTTATCAGTTGGTTGAAACCCAAGGTTTATAGGGATACTTCATACACTTAAACTGAGTTCGGGGAAAACAAGAAATATATCTTTAACTTTTTAATAAATCGGCCGTGTTTTACTTCTAACATTCTTTCTGTTTCCTTCTTGATCCTAAAGAAGATTTCCCATTCATCCGGGACCTGGGTGCACGGCAGGGTTCAATTCTTGGCCCCTCGCTCTGAACTTTAATATCCTGGTAGCATGGATAAGTTAGGGGTTAGACATTCATCATGAGTATATAAGAAGTAGGAGATGAACTATTGTTTAGAAGTGACCGTTCAGCGTTCTTTATACCAACATGTTTTAGTCCTTCTTTTTAAAGAAGGTTCTTCGATTTTTTCTCCATCAGCTCTCTACAGTGTATGTGTGTGTGTGGGTTGGGATGGGGGGGGGGTCAGGTTAGTTTCCCGCCCTATGCTCCCTATGCTACCTATACCCTCTGCATACGGTTATTATGAATGAAATACCTGAACCCACCGTGGAAGATTTTATACATTCTTTCCCAAACATTTCTGCGCAATTATTCATTTTCAAAATCCATTAGTTTCCGGCCAAACCACGTTTTGCAAATATTTCCTTAAAAAAAACATTATTGTAACATAAATGTGTGTTTATGAAATTTTTAATATTGTTTTTTTTTCTCTTTAGAACTCTGAATCTGATCTTCCCGTCTGTTCTCCCTTTTCTGTTTGTGGAAAGCTGGATACCTACAGTACACCATGGATGGAGCGACAGTGTCGCTGTGCAACCTCGTCCTGTTCAACGTCGACACATGTACGCGATGGGCATACTGTACATGATAGAACTAAGCAGTACAAGGTATTTTTATTTTATTTGTAAACCCATGGTTCATTTTCCACTTTCTTGAAATGTTAAGTTTATCAGATTCAAATTGATAGATTTACAAAGAATAAATGTATATTAGAGGAATGAATACTTAAATGATGAATGACAGATTGTAATATGAGAGACTTAAACGTCGAGTAGAAGAGTATCGTAAGCTTAAATCAATATTAGTCCGAAACCTGACACTTCAACTAGTCCTTGTTTACGGAAACCTGAAACCTAAAACTTTTGTTTTGATTAAGATTTAATCTTTTCCTTCCTTGCATCCTTTTTACTTTCACCTTCTGACCCCTTGATTTGACTAGTACTTCTTTCTAGACTTTTTAAAAACTTTATATGTATTAGTTCGGTCAACAACAGTCTTTTATCCTAGATCTGCGAGCCTGTGAAGAAACTGAAAAGATGTAAATATTTCCGTGACGTGACGTGGACCAACATCGTTTACCCGGACAACTCGACGCAGCAGGTCATGCACTGCCGGTGTCCGAAGAACTCCGTGGCCTATCTCGTAAAACGCCACGCTTACCAGACCGATGCAGGACTAGGATATCAGTTCAGCTTCGCCTGCTCACCACAAACGGTAAATTTGAATTTCTAAACTGCACTTTTAAAAATGTGGAGAAAATAGATCTGTTTAAAGTTAATTACCCATATATTTACTCCTTTTTGTTTTTAGAAGTTGAAGTGTGAACGCAAGGAGCCCTGTCGACTTTTCTCCGTGAAAAAATCTGGAGGTCGGGATGATGTTGATGAGGTCACAATGTCCAGCCTTTGCTCTTGTCCTCACAACCACAGATGTCCTAAGCACCACCTGGATGTTGGTGTTGTACCGGGCCGAGTGTACACAGAAGATGCTGTACGGACATACAGTGGGTACTGTATGTGAGATACGGGAAGGGGGTTTGGGTAACTACAACCTGTGATTTTATCAGATATATCTATATACCATGTAAGACTGACTGCACCAAGACTGTCTGAGAGAGATGTGCGAACTGAGATGAGAATGGAAAGTCCTTCCATACTAAGAGCTAGACCTGGATCTAGTTGATCCAGGAGAAGAGAAAAAAGAACCTAAAGGAATAGAACCTAGAGCTACAGGCCTGAAACTCTAAGCTGCTTGACATAAACTTGGGCTGCGAGTCAAAGCTTAACGATTCCTAGTGTTTTAGCGTTACTTGCGACGATGCCTCGTAATCTTTGAGAGAATGGCGCGCAAGACTGTACGGATGCCGCAAGTGATTACAGACTATCCCGGTGGATATTTAAAATGTTCCACTTTTAAAGTTGCTTCCCTGTTGCTGTGATAACTGTGCAGGCGGCAGCCATGCATTTATATTATAAATTATTAATAAAGTAGAAAATAAAGTATCATTATAAATAAAATTAGACATAAAGCTTTTTTTATGAATATTCTATGTATATATTTTTTGTTAATATGTAGAGTGAGTAACACTGTGTTACCCACAATAGAGACGACTGTACAGAATAAATAAGTCTTTTTCTTAATGGTACCCTAGAGCTTCACATTTGTTTTTATCTATAACTGCATTTGCTAATTGATGCGTACATTTTAAACCTTATAACATAAGCTTAATATTTTTATAATCAAAGGTTTTCAGGTGATTGTTAAAGCCTCATACATTCTGGGTAACCCTGTATAAAGAGAAAAGTTATAAAAGTCGTTGTCATTAAAGTCTCGTCTGTTATGAATACCCCTACAAACTATTACACAAGTCTTTAAACCAAATGTTATTAAGATATTTAATATAATAATGCATCAAAAAAATGTTTACTTAGAGAGCATGGATTTACACAAATTAGTTCTCTTCTAGAGTCAGAATCAATGAATGTTGAAAATCTTTATAAAAAATAAACATTTAAATTTGAAGTTTTTATATTTGTTTGATATAAACAAACTGAACACTCACCTCAAACTCAAATTCTCTGATCACTTTATCTTTGCAACCTGATCTATAATTGGTTTTTTGTTCAATAAAAAGATTTTAAAAATGTATAAATCGTCTTCGTTGATGCTTTTAATTGGCAACGAATACAGTGCGACCCACAAAACTGTGGAAAAGAAAGACAAGTATAGTTTTAAATAGTCCAATGAACATGAAACAAGAAAATTGTGCAGTGTACACAGATCCATTTCACTTATCAAGTTGAATTTCAGGCTACTGCTAAAACAATTTGCTTTATACAATTAAATCAAATACACATACGATTGCTTAAATGAAGTCTTCTTATTCCACAGTTTTATGGGTCTCACTGTATGATGAGGAACTCATTTTCAGATCTATGACATTTACAAATACCAGAACCCTTGGGGATATTTTTAATCAATAGATTATTCTTGTTTTCATTGTATTTACATTTTTCATTCACAAACTGTTGGTTAACTACAGGTAGGGGAGGTAGGGGTAGGTAGGGGAGGTGGCGGAGGTGGGGGCGGTAGGGTATGGTAGGGGAGTACTTCCGGGTATTTAACTTTTTGCCTATATTTTCTCGCTGGGTCAAAATTTAGTATAACATAGGATTAGCAAATGTCAATTTTTTTATTCGAAACATTTTTATTTATTTAAGTATGTCAAATTTTGGAAAATATATTCGAAAAACGATCCACAAAAGATCAAAAAACGACGTAAAGACGATCCAAAAACGATCAAAAAACGATCAAAAAACGATGTAAAAATGAAGCAAAAACGATTCACAAAAAAAAAACAAAAAACGATGCAAAAACGAACGTATGGTAAAGATCATTATTAGATCGTTTTTCCATTTTTATATAAGGAGAATTAAAAGATATTGCAAAGTTTAATAAAACAAACTTAATCTTGGATGTTTTATTGATTTTCCCCCCAAAATCATCCAAAACAATTAACAACACTAACTACTGCAGGATGTCATGACAGTTGGGAGACGACTTGGAGGTCGTCTTTGATCTTTGAAACAATTTGCGGCATTCATTCGTCAACCTAAAGTGATACCAGAAAACAATGGAATAAAAAGACGACATTCTGGCAATACTTCAGCGTTTTGATGTTGTTACAAAGCAAATATTTTTACTATTATCTATTTAAGTGAAATGGGTCTATTTACACTGTATATTTGCTATGTCTAATGTTCATTGAACTAGTTTAAGTCATAACTTGAGTTTAAAGTCGTCTTCTTTATCACTTTGTATTAGCATTTCGCGTTCACAAATTGTTGGTCAACAACAGTGGTAGGAATTTATATAATACAATGAAGACGACTTTTCTACAGAGAAACCCGGATATATGAATACATAGCAAGAACTCTATATAATGTCGCATTTTATATTTAATATCAAATGCCGCGGAAAAATGAGTTTAATATTGAAATATTGCATTCATATTTCAGGGCTATTAATTTACCTTGAAATCAAAATAAAAGAAGTTTCCTTAGAATTATCAAAAAACTTATGACGGTCTATGTATTCATATAATTGGGATTCACTGTGCTCAAGTTTTGATTTCTAGAAAGTTTTTTTTTCAAATTACAAGCATAATCAAAACAACCTGCTAATTCTCTTATGTATATTTTACATCTCACAAAACTCTGCTTTGAAAATTAGGATCTGTATGAATATCCAATGTGTAGATGTATGTACTATATACACAATTAAGCTGTTTCATGGTTAGGTTAGATTCAGAATCAGATAGATAGCTAGGCACTGAAGTTGTTCCAGGTAAGGTTAGATTCAGAATCAGATAGATAGCTAGGTACTAAAGTTGTTCCATGGTTAGGTCAGATTCAGAATCAGATAGATAGCTAGGTACTGAAGTTGTTCCATGGTTAGGTTAGATTCAGAATCAGATAGATAGCTAGGTACTGAAGTTGTTCCATGGTTAGGTTAGATTCAGAATCAGATAGATAGCTAGGTACTGAAGTTGTTCCATGGTTAGGTTAGATACAGGATCCGATAGATAGCTAGGTACTGAAGTTGTTCCAAGTTAGGTTGGATTCAGAATCAGATAGATAGGTAGGTACTTAAGTTGTTCCATGGTTAGGTTAGATTCAGGATCCGATAGATAGCTAGGTACTGAAGTTGTTCCAGGTTAGGTTAGATTCAGGATCCGATAGATAGCTAGGTACCGAAGTTGTTCCAAGTTAGGTTAGATTCAGAATCAGATAGATAGCTAGGTACTGAAGTTGTTCCAGGTCAGGTGAGATTCAGAATCAGATAGATAGCTAGGTACCGAAGTTTAGGTTAGATTCAGAATCAGATAGATAGCTAGGTACTGAAGTTGTTGTTTTTTTAAAGGAGGGGGAAGGTATCCAAGCACCATTGTTTATTGAGGCCTATTAATTCTATAAAAAGTATTTTGTTAAATAAATACAATTCACAAAGGACTAAATGTTGCTGACGACCTGAAATGTTTAAGACAAGCTGCTCTGAAGGTTGAATTTGGCCTCCTTACTTCTTCAATATATTCTTCTAAGGTTTACTTAATGATTTGCAAATGAAAGAAGTAAACAGTTGCAGGGAATCTTTAGTGCAAGAGAACCGACTGAAGGAATTCCGTACAGTCGTCTCTGAAAATACATGACCCAAAGAATCCACCTTTCCTTCCTGGAAATGGTTTTAGGGTCTCCCTGTGTATCATTAAAATTGGATTAAAACTAATCAATGATTGTTATCTCGTTTATCGAATGAATAAATTCCTCAGCCTTGTTCAAAAATCTTGAAACATTTTGCAAAATTTAAGAATTTTAATCCGCACTATCGGAAAGGTCGCATACTGCAAGTTTGCCAACTAATGTTGGCCAATTCGTTGCAAATTTGATGTTGCGAATTTTCTTGCAAATTCCATTGGTAAGATTTACATCAAGCTGATTCAATCTTTGTGTCTCGACAGCTAGGGGGGTTCAAGTAGACTCGGCGCAAGGGGGGGGTTTGGTGAAAAATTTAGAAAAATAATCTAAAATCTTATTTTAAACAAATGATAAATTAAAAGCACATTAAATAAGTAAACTAATTACTTATTTCCAATTTTGAACAACCCTAACCAATAGCCATTGATTTGCTCAATACTCCTGTATGTGATATAATCCCAGTAGATATCTCACTCTCCACTTAAACCTAGTATTTCTTCGGTTTGTTGCTTTAAACTCCGTATTTTGTGGAAACTTGATAGTTTTTTCAATTTATTTCAAGATCTAGAGCATGCTTATTATCATGAATAAACTGCTTTTATTATTGACAATAAAAATATCAAAACCTTCACCCCCCCCCCCCTCACCGAAGTTTTTCCAAGTAGATTCTATGAGGAAAAGTGGTTCAAGTGAATTTAATTGAATTTTGAACATGACATTAAATTTTAAAAACTCCGCTCCGCACCGTAATAAAAATGTTTAGTACAGTGCAGGTTAATACCAGAAATAGGTTAATAATTAGCAATAAATTGCGAACATTCCGCTGACTCATAATCTTGCTAATTTCATAATTATAGAGTTGAGATTAAACTTTGATCTTTCTCCAGGTCTGCGATTCAATCAAGATAAGGAACCTTAGGTTTAGGGATATTTTTACTCCAACCTTAACACTGTATAGGATCCATGTATGTAATAAGAACCTGAAGTTTGAGATTATTTTTACTCCGACCTTAACACTGTATATGATCTATATACATAGATCTTTACTCCGACCTTAACCCTGTATAGGATCTTTATATGAACCTGGAGTTTAAGAATATCTTGACTCCAACCTTAACACTGTATAGGATCTATATATGAACCTGGAGTTTAGGGATATCTTTACTGAACCCGACCCGAACCCTGTGTATGATCCATGTATGTATATATTTTATAAGAACCTGGAGTTATGTTTACTCCGACTTAAACCCTAGATATGATCTATGTATTAAAATGGAATTAAGGTTACTTTACTCAGACCTTAACCCTATGTAGGATTGATATAAGAACCAAGGTTTGGAGATAGTACGACTCAAACCTAAAGCCTGTGTAAGATCACTTTAAGAACCAAGGTTCGGAGATATTATTACTCCGACCTGAACTCTGCATAGGATCTATGTTAAAACTAAGGTTCAATGACTCCAACCCAAACAATTTGAAAGACCTTTTAAAGAATTAAGGGTCAGAGGTAGTATTCCTCCGACCTGAACTCTGCATAGGAACTAAACTCCTACTTCTATTCTTGAACCCTGTGTAGGATCTATGAAGGAACTAAACTCCTACTTCTACTCTTGAACCCTGTGTAGGATCTATGAAGGAACTAAACACCTACTTCTACTCTTGAACCCTGTGTAGATCTATGAAGGAACTAAACTCCTACTTCTACTCTTGAACCCTGTGTAGGATCTATGAAGGAACTAAACTCCTACTTCTACTC